GTTTTCTTCAGCTGTACGCCATAATCAGCGATATTAAAACAATAAAAGGCTTGTGATATTTCAGTTGATTTGTAATGAATCCAGAATGTATGACATTTCATGTGTTTTAATTGCATTACAGAAAATAAAGAACTTTATCACAATATTCTAATTTTCTGAGACAGTCCTGTATTTATTCATCTTTTTTCTGCCTCTCCATAACTCTCGGCACAGATAGATATTGTGCCACGGCCTCTGTACTCTGCACTGTGTTTCTTTCCTGCTTATTTCTGGTTTATTTCTGGGTTTATTCCCCAGTTTCAGCCTGATTTAATGATCCCTGCACACCTGCCAGGTGAGCAGACGGGGATCATTCAGCCTGTGTTGTTTTGTTTGGGACCAACCGAAAATAACAAAGCCATAAATAAATGATGAAACCTTTTCAGAAGAAAGAGAGGAGTGACTCTTAGAACCGGCCCACAGACAGAGTTTTATCTGCTTTTCATTGCAAGAGTATTTTCCTGAGTATCGGTATCGAGTTGAAAATTTTAGTATCGTGACAACCCTAATCTCTAGTGAATGTATTATCTCAGTATAATTCTGTACAGTTAAAAAACAGCCATATATCCATTTTACTCCGAACCCTCTGAGGCCACAGTTCACCTCTCTGTAGTAAACCACCTTAGAGAGATGGAACAGAGCTGAACAGCCTTTAATAAATCAGCTAAAACATTCATGTGGGCAGAATTAAACCTCAGCTTCAAAAGTAAAACACAGATCTCATTTTGTGCAGGTACTTTGCAAAGATGAAGTCTATGAAGGTTTCAGCTGCATCACAAAGAGACTGAACTCCAATTAAAGGTGACACAACGTTTAATTGGCATTAGCTGATTGTGGATCTGGCATTTTGAATAAGTAAATTATTGAAAATGCTGCTATGTAACATGAAATTCTTTCCGCACTGAAGCTGGAAACAGATTTTCAGTACTTTGCCCCCACAGCATGAAGGAATCTTCAGAAAGACTGGAAGTCGAAGGATTTGATTCCAATCGGACATTTTAAACGATTGCTTAAAGGTTTGGAAATGAGATTTATGGTTTGTAACTGTTTTATGAATTTCTAATTATAGATAGATGTAATTGTAAACTGTAATGTAATCTTTTGCTGCTGTCTTGGCCAGGACTCCCTTGAAAAAGAGATTGGTTAAATAAAGTTAAATAAAGGA